TACTCAATCCTACAACTGCTAGATATGAATTCAACTTGACAGGACCTTCCCACATGAGTTTGTTTATCCAAGCCTATGAAGACGTTGAGATAAGCAACTGGTCATTCTCACGTAGTTATCTGGAAAATCCTCCACCGTATCCATTGTCTTATCACATATATTTCGTTTACGGCATTGACAACTCTCCGCTTAACTTCTTTTTGGAATTCACTGTAAGTTCGCTCTGTAGAAAGTTTTTTCAGTTCAAGTTTGACTTAATTGATTTTTTCATTTATAGAAGGCGGACGGAGATTTCGAAGTACCGATATTCCAGCTGGGAGTTTCTGGGCATTATATTGAGCTAGAGGGTGACGCAGAAAGTCTGGAATTCGCATCTACGTTCCCATCCTTCGGGATTCTCGCCACATGGCCTGTACTCTACCAACGATATATTTTTTAATAACACAAACAACACAAATGAAATAAAATTTTGGCAGTTCTGATACCAGAACCAAAAAGTAGTAGCAAATAATTTCTTAATTCTTTTTTTTTTTTTAGCACTCCTAAGAAATGCCTTATATAAAGGGAAGAAAATATGTACAGCTTGTTACATATCTATACCTCTAGAGTCTAGACATATGTATGTCTGTATATGATAATTATGTTATCGTTCATATAGTCTATACTTTATGATTTAATCGATTTTTGGAAATTGATTCTTATCGATCTCATCTTATCTCCGAAATATATTAATTGATTTATATTATGCGATATATGATATCGAAACATCATTAATTCATAATTAGTATGATCGCATATTGATCATTTCATAACAAAACATAAATACATATGCTACCAAGTAGCAAACGTATATTTTAAGTACAACATTAAATGCAAAGAAAGTGGTTTACTATCTTCAAATATAATTAGTTTAAATTACCTAAAAGGTACATAATAATTCGAGGTTTCAAAGAAATACTGTATGGGTAACTCTGTGACTAACTCACGGTAGTTAACACGATGATGGTCATGAATCAATTTATTATTTATGATTTAATAAGCTATTAATTTTTCTTGGCGCTATAAATTTGAATACCCCATCAGAGTATAAATGATTAAAATCAATTTAAAAGAAGACTATAAAGAAGATAAGGAATGGAATTGTATTGACTGTTGGTTATATTAAATATTAAATAGCTGATAGCAACTTGAATAGCTTAAGAGCTTTGTTAACAACACAATTCTGTCTCTTAGTTTATTTCACCTATATAATTAATATTATACATTATGTATACACATGTGTATTTGGCACAATTGACTATAGAGTATCTCGAAGTCTACGCATTTTAATTGCTATATTCCCATTTATTGCTTTTAAAGCATTAATTTTACAATTCCATATTTTAGATAAGATTTTGCTTAGCTATAAAAGCCATCTACGTTTTCCAGAGTATTCAGTACAAAGCTACGTCTTCATAGATACGGTAGATAATTAAGAAGCAGTATGACAGATAAGGAGCAACTAGTAAGAAAAACTAGTATTCATATTTTTAACTTCTATATTAAATATTCGCCTTATAAAGATGTTAGCCGATTCTATGGAAGATCCTGGAAGTGAAGCCCAAAGAAAATCCAATCCAATCAAGTCAAAGCTACCTTGGTATTTTGCGAGTGGGTTCCTGCTTTTCTGGGGACTCCTCTTTTTTGCTGTCGTAATACCTCGTTTCTACAAGCTACCCACGCCGCTGACAATGGAGGACGCAAAGAGAAATGTATTCATAGCTGAACGGGCCTACAACAATCTGCATACCCTGTCCAACATCGGTACCAAATTAACTGGCAGCAGGGAGAACGAGGTTGAAGCAGTCAACTTTATATTAAAGGATCTAGCAGAAATCAAAGAAGCGATGCTAGATGACTATTTCGATATGGAAATTGATGTTTCTCAGGTGTCTGGAGCGTTTCCGTACAAAACCATGCTGAACATGTACCAAGGCGTTCAGAATATTGCTGTAAAATTATCGCCGAAGGGAAGTAACAGTGAGACGTACCTCCTGGTCAACAGCCACTTCGACTCGAAGCCATTTACACCGTCTGCAGGTGATGCAGGATTTATGGTAGTCACGATGTTGGAAGTCCTACGCGTGATTGCAACAACAAGGCAGACATTTGAGCATCCGATTGTCTTCTTGTTTAATGGAGCTGAAGAGGGTGCCATGCAGGCATCTCATGGCTTTATTACTCAACACAAATGGGCGCCGAACTGCAAGTAAGCTTTATTTGATCCATTCTCAGTAGTGTTTCTAATGTATCAATTTTTAGGGCTGTCGTTAATCTTGATGCTGGTGGTAGTGGAGGGCGAGAAATTCTCTTCCAGAGTGGTCCCAATCACGCATGGATTGTGAATGTAAGCTAATTAGAAATGAAGCAATCCAACACATTTTAAAACTTGTCCATAGTATTACAAAAATTATGTGAAATATCCGTTCGCAACGACCTTGGCAGAGGAAATATTTCAGACAGGCATTGTCCCGTCCGATACAGACTTCCGACAGTTTAACATCTATGGCAACATTCCAGGTAAATGTGTGAATGCTGGCTAATTGAATGCCGACTAAGTGTATTCTTGATTTTAGGCTTGGACATGGGTCAATGTATTAATGGATTTAGATATCACACAATTTACGACACGATCGATGCGATTCCTCGTGGATCCCTCCAGAACACCGGTGATAATGTGCTCAGTGTGGTTCGTGGCTTAGCAAATGCTCCAGAATTGCACGACCTAAGAGTAAGAGTAGATTTTTTTGATGAAAATTGTTATATCAATTTCAATATTTTTTTCCCAGGCTCACCGGAACGGACATTCTGTCTTCTTCGACTTTCTTGGATTCTATTTCATCCATTACTCAGAGATAACGGCAATATATTTGAACCTGGGCGTTGCTGGTGCTGCCTTAATTCTCATTTTCATTTCAATGTGGCGAATGACATCTGTGTCCAACATTTTCCTATTCCACGTGACTTGCTGGTTCACATTGGTCCTAGTCGTTCAGATTATTTCTTTTGTCCTCGGACTTGTACTTCCTGCTGTAGTGGCATATGTCTTTGACTACTTGGGATTGTCGCTGACTTACTATAGCACCCCGTTGCTGATAGTCGGCCTTTATGTGTGTCCCTCGCTAATTGGCCTCAGTTTACCCGTCACAATCTACCATATGTTGCAGCAAAACGTAAGTTGAATATCTGTACAAATAAAATATTTAATAATTAATTTTCCATATGCAGGATAAAATATCAAATGCCTACCATCTGCAATTGTCGCTACATGCACAAGCCATTATCCTAGCGCTGTTAACCATTGGTGCAACCCTATTTGGCCTGCGCTCAATATATATCTCAGTGATTCCACTCATTTTCTATGTTTTATCTTTGGCCTTTAACTTGTTGACCACTCTGCATGATCGCGGATATGCCTGGACGGGCGTCCTTAAACTTAGCCAGGTGATTCCTTTCCTGTATAGCAGCTACCTCTTTTATACACTCGTGGTAATACTGACACCAATGGGTGCCCGAGCAGGCAGTGCCAGCAATCGGGACTTGTATGTTGCCATAGTAGCAGCACTAGGAACTGTTCTTTCCTTTGGTTTCTTGGTAAGTTTCCTTAGCGTCTGCTCTCATTCAGAATATTTCTCACTAATATTTGTGCCAGGTTCCACTCATTAATAGCTTCCGACGTCCAAGTTTAGTGATTGCCTCTCTGTTGGCTGTCACAGCTGTCGCCATGTACTTGGCCAGTAGCACCCAACTTGGATTCCCATATCGTCCGAGAACCAACGGACAGCGTGTTGCGTATCTGGTAAGCTTTACTATTAGCTTTTCTTTAGAAATGATATCCAATGTCTTACCTTCACATCTCAGCAAGTGCGAAACAAGTTCTACGAGTACGACGGAACTCTTAGCAAGGACGAGTCTGGCTACTTGTTCAATTTCCAGGATAGACTTCGAGAGAAGCCATTCATGGACACAAATGCCAATCTGACTGGGCTGGTTAGCATTAAGCCGTTCTGCGAGGAGCACATGATGTGTGGCCTGCCCCTGTTTGACTATCGCTACGTTCAGAATCGGCTTGAGAGCAAATGGCTTGCCCGATCTGCACCCATCGAGCCAAAATCATCAACAGAACTGGAATTGGTATCCAAAACCCAAGTAAATGCGACAATTGTGCGCTTTGTGTTCAAACTGACTGGACCTTCTCATATGAGCTTGTTCATCCAACCCTATGAGGACGCCAAGATCGTCAACTGGTCATTTTCGCTTAATTACCTTAAATATCCACCAGGGTATCCGCTTGCGTTTCACATATATTTCAGATATGGCATTGACAGCTCTCCGTTGACCTTTTACATAGAAATATTGGTATGTGAAGTTTTTTATAGCTTCCATCAAAGAGTACAATATTTATATAATGCATTCACTTTATTTCAATTAGAAATCTGATGGCGATTTTAATGTACCGTTGTTTCAATTGGGAGTCTCTGGACATTATATTGGTGATAAGGGAGATGCTGAAAGTGAGGAGTTTGCCGCAGCGTTCCCTTCCTATTCCATCTTAGCCACTTGGCCTGTTCTATACCAGCGATTTATTTATTAATTATGAAAAATATTAAACATTGAAATAAATGTATATGCTGCGTAATATGTCCAATGTATACGAAAACAATAATCAATTCTCCAATATTATTATAAAATGCAGTCCTCACGCACTTTTTAAATGTTCGATATTGATGTGAATGCTTTATCGATAGTCAGTCACTTATTTGAAAGCTGTGACAATAATCCACTGTTATTGAAGCTCATCCAGTAGAAATTACTCATTTGGCGTTGTTAACAGTTAACATCGACGCAAAATGCTCTATGGAAGCAATACTATTCGACGTAAATGTATTCGTTCATTTAACATAATTCTTGAATTTCAACGGCGCAAATAAAATAAATGTCGGCTTCAAAGCGCGCATAATTATTATTTTTTAAATCAGCAAATCTAGAGGAAACTTTATCAATGCGAATACAATTATAAATAAAGTCAATTTTACCCACTTTACATGCAAATAAAAAAATTAAAAATTGCTTTTGAGAGCATATTCTAATATTTTAATATTAATTATATAAATGATAACTCGAAAAGCGTTTGATTTTAAGTTTACGTTCACAATCTTATCGCTTAAGTGCGCTATTAACTCAAGTTGCAGTAAATTTTAATGGCTGTGATTAAGCAAACAAGCCTCAAGTACTACACACTTTTGCGATATCCGATTTTTGTTTTGATTTGGTTGCTGTCCCTAATAACTATATGGTTAGTGGTATTACCAAGAGCCAATGCGTCATCATTTGATTTTTGAAACATTTTCCGCCTTCCACTTCAAATTGAAAATGATATATACATATATGTATGTATACAAA